AAATATTTGACTCAGAATAAAGGGCCAAGCTTGAACTTCTTAGAGGTTTGAGAGCCCCCAACTTCCCTTGGGAGTATGGTCTGCTCTGTGACACAGGGCCTGTGCCATTCTCTTTAGCATATTAGTATCCTCTACCATGTCTCATCTTGGGACAGAACCAAATATCCAGATAAGTAAAAACACTCCTAGGACCCCCACCTAGTCCCTTCTGCTCCTACCTCCTTATTCCTTCCTTGTTACTAGCAAAATTCTCCTTAGAGCTTGATGGTGTCTGTGCTCACTTCTGCATCCTGGAAACAGGGCTGTCGTCCCCAGGAGACATTTAAGATGCTCCTGTCCATGTTCCTCTAACATCCACATTATCAAATCCAATTACAGCCCTGAAATGCTTAACAATGAGATATAGTCTCGGAAAAGTATCCGGTTGTTGTGTCACTGTGTGACATCATAGAGTGTGCTTATGCGATCCTAGACGGTCTAGGCTCGGTCAGTCACTGCAACCAAGACACTCAGAGCAATCAAAAGATGTGATAAACAGATGCATGTGGCTGCAGTTGGTGTCACACGACACTATTACTGGACATTTTTTTATAAGTAGGCACACACTCAAATGATTAGTCTTAGCATCTAAGCAGTAGCTCCCTTAATGATAGCAAGTAATTGAAGACTATGTTGTGAGAGCAGTTAGATTTCCACTGGTGAACATTCACAAATCTTTTCCATTTTCTCCTCCTTTGGTGAATTTTATTTTATCTGAATTTAGAATGTAGTCATAACTATGGAAGCTGTTTTTGGATATAATTGTCAATTGTTGCAATTCTAGAAATGCTACAAAATTAACATTTTTGTTTGTTTCAAATACATTGGTTCCAAGACTATGTCACGGTAACCCTTCTTACTCTCAAGAATTACAAAATAAAGACGTTGATATGGAATTCATTGCTACACTGCCTGGGAATATGAAATTGTATCTATAAAACACTGATGTAATGCTATGAGCTCATAATATAAACAGATATCAACTCATTTTGTGGTACATTGTATCATTAAAATACTTTTGGTATAGTTGAAATGAAAAAAATAAACCAAAGTGGGAACCAACAGGTGTGTGGCTTCAAACATACAACCCAGTAATCCTAAATCCTAACTGGAGAAAATACAAAAGCTGAAAATCAGGTTAATTCAGTATATTTAACAACTTGGAATGTGGGAAGCACTTTAACATTTTAAGGGGAAAAAACACCCAAGTTAAACATAAAGCATTGCTGATCAAAATACTCTATCACTGGGAGAAAGGAAGGAAAGGTGAATAACAGGGTAAGAGAAAAGAAAAGAGTTTGCTACACAGGTGCCATGAAACCAATCTCTTCAGCTGTGTAGTCAAGAAAATAATGGTATTGATTAATCATTTGCTCTGCGTTGTCACACTTTGCAGATGCTGAAGCCACAAAGAGCCTGAACGTATGACCAGGGCAATCATAGCTCAGCAAGAGTGTAAACGTCAGTGTGGAGTGGAGAAGTGGGGCCACGCTTGGGAGATGTAGGACTTCAGCTCAGTCTTGTTGGATGTGCAGGGCTTTGGAAATAGATATGGGCAGTGAGAAAGAGTGGGAGGAGATAGGTATGTACTTAAGCAAAAATAAATTAAAGCAAATACAGTCATACCTCAGCTCATGAACACTTCCATTCAGGAACAATTTGGTTCAGGAACAGAAACATTCTGCAAAATTTTGCTTCTGTTGGGGAACTCCAACAGCAGGTGATAAACATGACCATGACCAACTTCCACACATGAACACAAACACGGCCATCTTCCCTGCTCAAGCATGTGGTCATGGCTTCCTCTAGTTGAGATCATGGTCATAGAAAGACCTGTGCACACTTGCCGGAAGCTTTTTCTGTGTGTGTTTTTTAGCACATAAGTACCGTCCAGTATTATTCAATCCAGCATGGCTCCAAAGAAAGTGCACAGCAAGTACAGTGGTGAAAAGTAAGTGCAGGGTGGTAATGAAGGTGACAGCAATGTGAAAAGCAAGAACAGTAAGAAAGTTTTGAAGAGAATAACCATTGAGTTGAAGAAAGAAATTCTAGAAAAGCATGACGGTGGTATTTGTGTGACCTGGTCTCAGAGTACAAGATGGCAAAGTCAATAATCTCATCTCGACTATTTTGAGGAATAAAGATGCCATGGAAGGAGGCAATGTGGCTAAAGGAGTAGCGATGTTAACCAAGAGAGGACACAGTGCTGAAAGAGGTGGAAAAACTTTTGTCAATGTGATCGAATGAAAAAACAGCTGGCAGGTGACATTATTAGTGAAGCTGTGGTCTGGGTAAAAGCCAGGAAATTACACAGTGATTTACTGAAAGAGGTGGTGAATTTCAAGCCAGTAGAGGGTGGTTTGATAAACTCCAAAAGAGAAGTGGCATCCGCAGTGTGGTAGGGCATAGTGAGACTTCCTGTTCTGAGCAGGCCACTGCAGAAGCTTACAAGAAAGAACTCACAGGATCCGTAAAGAGGATACATTGCTTAATAAGCGTTCAACTGCAATGAAACAGGGTTCTCCTGGAAGAAATTCTGAACAGAACCTATATCATACAGGATGAAAAGGCACTGCTGGGGGACAAGCCCATGAAAGAAAATGGACCCTTGTCCTGTGTGCAAACACAAGATCTGATCTGAAGATGAAGCCAGTACCATTCCCAGACCCCTCATGCATTTAAGAAAGAGAATGTGAACAAAGCTAGACTGCCAGTCATGGGGAGGGCCAATGGGAAAGCCTAGGTCACAAGAAAGTTGTTCATGGAATGGTTCACACCCACTGTTAGGAAATACCTTTCTGACAGCCAACTGCCTGAAAGGTGTTGACTTCTAATGGACAATGTCCCACACACCCTCCAACTTTGATGGATGATATGGATGCTAAGGATGACTTCATAAAGGTCAAGTTCCTCTCCTCCAACATGACACCTCTTTTGCAGCCCATGGACCAGGACATGACCTGCAACTTCAAGATGGTACACAAAGATACTTTCCATCAAGTGTTTTAATGTCACTGAAGAGACATCCTTGACTCTGAAATAGTTCTGGGAGAAACATTTCAATGACCTCCACTGCACTGACCTTACTGACAAAGAGGGTGGGAAGATGCCACGTACCAGACCTTAAACTCAGCCTGGAGGAAACTGCAGCCAGAATGTATCACTGAATGTGACTTTGAAGGGTTTGATACATGGATAGTAGAGGAGATTGTGCCATGGGCAAGAGAATGTGTCTGGATGTTGATGGTGCAGACATAGAGGAGCTCACTGAGGATCATAAGGAGGAGCTGACAATGGAAGAACTTGCTGAGCTCCAGAGTGTGTGAGCAGCAGAAGGTGCTGTTGAGGAGCATTCCTCTGAGGAAGGGGAAGACAGGGAGGAGGTTAGCAATGATGTGATAAAATCCATTATGGAACTGTGGAATGAGTACCACCAGGAGATCTTTGAAAAGCGCCACCCCAACATAGCTGTAAAGCCCAGAGTGTTGAAGTTGACGAACAATAACATGGTCTCTCAGGGGCCGGGGATTTAGCTCAGCGGCAAAAGCGCTTGCCTGGCAAGTGCAAGGTCGTGAGTTCGGTTCCCGGTACCGGAGAAAAACCTAAAAAAAAAAAAAAACATGGTCTCTCATTTCCAGAGGGTTGTGCAGTGCAGGACAAAACAAAGTGACATTAGAAGTTTTGCCAAAATTGACCCTGCAGCTAAGAGATAAACAAGAGAGGAAACGCCTGAAGGAGATCTCCCTTATGGCGGGGGACTCTCCCTCCAAACTATAACCTTTTCCCAGCCAATCTTTCTGTCCTTCATGCCAGAAGTCACCTCAAGCGATGTTAGTGTTCTCTCTCTTCATACTGTGTGGCATTGAAATTTGTTTTGTACCTTGTGGTTAAAAAATGCATATGGTACAGAACAGATTAACCTTATTTACACTGAACCTTACGAGGAAATTTGATCAGTTTATTAGCAATTTGGGTAGTGACCAGAATTGTGGAACAAGTTAAGTTTGTGAACGTACTACTGTACGTTAGACACAAGGTTTGACAGGGTACATTGATAGAAATGGAACATTTCATGAGTGAAGGAATCTAGTGAATGAAGGAATCACGGGTTTTGTACTGTAGGCTGCAGTGTGGGGAGGCTGTAGAAGCACCTGGAAACTTCAGGTAAGGGTGGGTGGAAGAGTGATAACTCAGAAAGGGAGATGCCTTTTGGCATCAGCCTCGCTGCAGGGAGGGAAGCTTGAAGTTATAATGTGGATCTTGATGGTCCTGCAAAGGCCCGTGTGTTGGAGCCTATGATGCTGTCAGGAAGTGGTGGAACCTTTAAGAGGTGGGAACTTAGTGGAAGAAAGTTAGGTCATAGAGGGAGTGTCCTTGAAGGGAATATTAGGACCCCAGCTGCTTTCTACCTCCCATCTGCCAAAAGGTAAGTAGTTTCCTCTACTGTGTGCTATCACCATGACACATTGTGATGCTGCAGGCCTAAAACCAACCGAGCCAATTGGAAACCTCTGAAAGAGTGAGTGTACAAAATCTTTTTTTTTTAATAAATTGTTTATCTTGGGTATTTTGTCACAGCCACAGAAAGCATACTAATACATTCAGGTCATTCTATTATGCCAATTTTTTTGCAATAAGGTGTGAGAAATTATAAAGATCTGTGCTGTCATGGTGGTAATTGTAATAGTCATGAAGGAGTAACCCCAAGAGGTAGTATGATGGGGTCAGAAGGAGAAATTTATCAAGTGTTGTGAGTTCTGTATTTTATATATATTATCTTACTTAATTCTCATAATGGGCTTTCCAAAGGGTATTATTATTATTCCAGTTTAGAAGTAATTGCATCCCAGTGGCTTACTAAAGAAGTGGAACTACAGTAGACTGAGTGAGTGATAGATAAGATGAATCAAAATTTTTTCATTTGTTTGTTTTATAAAGCTGAATTTGTGTTTTTATTGTAGTTTTCTCCTAAATCTGGGACCTAACATTGATTTGTGTGCTTGTATGTCAAAGACAAGTGCTGAGTAAGTAGCAACAAAAGCAAAACATGATGAGCAGACTTCTTTTAGTTATTGTTCTTTATTCCTAAAGCTGTGTTTGGCACTAAATCCACTGGAAAAGAAAGTAGGTAAAAATCTTGAAAACATAAGGGTAAGCAGAGAGTTCATGGACAAAAACCAAACTGCACGGGAAATACTTTGAAGAATCAACAATTGGGATCTCATCTTATTGAAAAGTTTTTGCACATCAAAAGCAATCACCAACAGAGTAGAAAGAAAACTGATAAATTGGGAAAAAAAATTTAGCCAATTGCCTCTCAGACAAAGGACTTCTATCTAGAACATATAAAGAATTTTTAAAAATCAGGCCCCCAAAATTGAAAGACCCAGTCCAAAAATGGGCATCTGCAATGAATACACACTTCTCAGATGAAGAAATACTAATGGTGAATAAATACATGAAAAATTGTTCAACATCATTAGTCATTTAAGAAATGCAAATTAAAACAACATTGAGATTCCATTTCACCCGAGAAAGAATAGCTATCATCAAGAAATCAACCAGTAACAAATGCTGGAGAGGCTGTGGGGACAAAGGAACCCTACTCCACTGCTGGTGGGAGTGTAGATTGGTGAAACTACTGTGGAATCAATTTGGAGATTCCTCACAAAACTAGGGTTAGAATTTCCAGTTGACCCAGCTATTCCCCTTCTGGATATTTTCCCAGAAAAACTAAAAACATCATACAACAGTGATATACATGCATCCATGTTTATAACAGCACAATTTGTTATACCTAAATCTTGGAAACAACCCAAATGCCCAACTGAGGAATGTATAAAAAAGATGTGGTATTTTTATACAATGGAGTATTACTCAGATATAAAAAAGATAAACTCAAGGCTTTTGTAGGTAAATGGATACAACTAGAGACCATACTCATAAGTGAAATAAATTGGGCCCACATGTGTAAACATCATATTGTGTCCCTGGTGTAGGAACCTGAAAGAGTAAGTAAAACCCAAAATGTACAATAGATGATGCAAAAGGAAAAAAAAATTGCTCAAAGGAAGGAACAATTGGGATGAGGGAATGAAGAAAAAAGAAAGAAGGAAGGCAAAATAGAAATAAAGATAGATAGATAGATAGATAGAGTGATAGATATAAAAGAATAGCTGGGATAACTGTACTGCTGATGTCTGATGGTATATTGAAAGGAACAGTTAATGCTTAAATTTTTTGTATTTTGACCAATTTTGCACGCTTATATCTGGTAATCTGAGCAACTGATTTGAAGACAACAATATGCAATGGAACAACTACTGGTGAATTCCTACCATCTTATCTAGTGAAACTCTGTATTCTCTCTAATGTTTTACTTAATAATTTTTTTATTCTCTTTCATAAAAAAATTATTTTAAAAAAGGTTTGAACAATCATTCTTACATCTGGTAATCTGAGCAACATAGTTAAAGAAAACAATATGTAATATAACAACCACTGGTAATTCCTATCATTTTGTTTTGAAACCCTGTATCACTTTTAATGTTCTTGCTTTGTTTTGTATTTGTCTTTGATGTTGGCTGTTGCTATTTTTTTTTTTTACTACTCTCTTTAAAATTAAAAAAAAAAACTAAGTGCTTGGTTTTCAGTAAATAAAAGGTGAACAGCTGATAGTAAAGCACAGTTTACAAAAGACTCATGATGAGCGATGACTACCTGGTTAAAGCAAGCATCTATCCCTAACTTTGTTCTCTTGCTCCTTTAGGTCGCTGTGACAGGAGGCTGGAAAGAGATGTCAAGCCAGAGGTCTCTGTTCAGGCAGTACTGAGTACTCCCTGACTGCTCCATGTGAGAGATTCCCCAGGCTGAGTGTAACCAGGGTAACCCACATGGGCATCCTGAAAGCAGCAACACCAAGGTGACAGAACACAAATGGGCCAGGAGTTAAAAATGCAGCTTGAGTTTGAGATTTAAACTTTAAAAATGGAGCAACTCTCTCTAAAGCAAAACAGAAGCTTGCAGTCTCATTTCATTACCCGCCGGGGCCTTTGAGCCGTGAACTTTCCCCCACTTCAGAAACTTCTCTGGAAAATTCATTTCATGCTTCTCTACTCCAGTAAAACCCTTGACCGAGCTGTTACAAAACAGGAGACTTGGCAGAGGGAATGTGAGAAATCACTTGATATGGTGGAGCCAGTTGGCACCCGTGAGAGCCATGTGCCTCTGACCTTTGGTTCACCTGTAATCTTGGACCATGACCTTCTCCCAGCAGAGGGAACTTTCTGATTCTTCTTGTGCCAGGTGACTGGAAAGCCAATAAAGCCCATGTATCACATTTTTTGACACACAAAAATATGTCTCTTAGGCCATAGGTGCCCCGGGTTCAGGGCTAGTGTTTCATCAAGCTCTGGGCAGTCATTTTAAGGGGTTTCTTTGATAACTACCCAATCCCTTTGAAAGCCTCCATTTGGATTCTTTCCCTTATAAAGTCAGACCTCCATCAGTTACCTCACTGCTGCTAACACTCCTCTGAAATTGGTATGATAACCACCCGCTTCTCTCTCCTATACAGTTCTACCCAGTGATCTTTTGCTCAGACCCTTAGACAGCCAAATTCCTGTTTTCTACCATATTTGATTCAAACCTTAACTTCTTTTCTCCAGTTCTAATTTCTTCCTCTTCTAAGAAAAGATTTGCCTTTTCAACAAAAATTTTTTGAGTGCCCACTGCTAAGCAAGAATTTTTTGAAGTTCTTGGATTATAAAGACAAATAAGGTATCATCTTGACCTTGGAGGGACTTAGAGCATTAAGATAAGTTAAATCTTTTAGATTCAATGGCAAGTTATACGGGGGTGGGGTCATCAGTTCCACTAGGAGGGCAGGAAAATCTGCTCAAAGAGCATCTGAGATGTTCAAATCTCTCTCCTAAATAAAGTATGTAAGTGAAGTGTTAAGTATATTAGCTTGATTTAATCATGTCACATTTTATGCCTATATCAAAACATCACACCAAAGCCCATAAAGGTATATAATTAAGATTTTTCAATTAAAAATCATATTAATAATTTTAACAACCACACAGGAAGAACTTTTTAAATTCCATTCTCTCTACCCTCTAAATCAACTATAGTATTAACATTTTTCTTTCTATCTCAGAAAAGTTTACATGCTTCCCCCAACACTAATGTTTCATGTGGATCTTAAAAACAAACTTCATATTCCAATATGAAAGTGAGGTAAAAGAGTGGCAAAAATACTATGAAATGATAACAGAAAATCTCAAGAAAGAAAAAATATCTGCCATGACCAGTCAATTTTATGACAGTTCCACTGTTGCTCATTTTTGTGTATCTGGATCACTTTTCCTTTCCTATTTTTTGTAGTAGTAACCACAGCTCTGTGTATTCTTTGTTGGTCCTCTTCCCCTTCCTCCAGGAACTGACTTCTTTCAGTTCTGTCTCTTGACCTTCCTCATTCACCCTCCTGTTCACATCCATCTCACCTGTTCTAAGACAAAAGAAGCCCAGTGGCTTCCTTCACCTTGTTAGACAGTCTTATCCTTTCCTCCATGAGCTGCTCCCAGGCTAACCTGTTTTGCTTGTTGATCTCTTCCCTCTCTCTGTGGCTTTCTTCCTTCCATGCCCCTAAGCTGTCCATCCTTAAGTATTTTCCCTCTATATTGCCAATGATTCCTTCTACTGTTTCTTTCTTATGTGAGTTTGTCTTCATCGGTCCACCAAAGGGGCAAACTAGTAATGCCCAGGTCTCACCCACACCAGCTTCTCTTCAGCCACTGAAGATTTCCAATGAACCCTTCTCATGGCTTTGCAAAGTCACTTCTGAGCATCTTGCCTGAACTTCAGGATCACTTGTGACTTACATCTGGACATCCTTACCATAGTCACCGCCGAGTTTACAGTCCTCAGTTTCAGCCAGTCATGCCAGAAAGATGAACACCATCTTATCTCTTCCTTGATCCTGAGTTCCTTAAATTCTTCTTAAAACATATATCTGAAACCTATCACTCATTCTCATTAATATTTTGTAAAATCAGACCCTGAGTGTTTCATATCTGATCTATTTGATAGGTTCTTCTTACACTTTTTATCCCATGCTATTTCACATATTACATCTCTAGAGTACAGGTCATTGTTTAAAATACCACTTCTGTAGTTAAAAATTGTTGATGATGATTTTCCACTCCTTGCAACAAAATCCGCATTTCTTACATAGCTCTCAGGCAGTGTGTAATTTGCCCCCCACATACTTTTCCCACCTCATTTCCCTCCTAAGCATTCCCCATGCACCCTCTGATGTAGCCACATACAATAGTGGAGGTTGTTGTGCTGCTCTAAACATGCTGTAAATCCCCTAGCTCTCAAGACCTACTGTGGCTTTCCCTCTGCCTGGAGATCCATATACATCTGAAATCATATTCATGCTCTGAAGTCCAGCCTAAATGGCCCCATCTCTATGAAGTTCCCTAGATCCTGCTTTCTCCTGTTCCTTAAGAAATCAGTCACACACCCCTCTCTATTCTGAGTTCTCAGAGTGGTTACCAAACCTAGCTGTGCACCAGAATCAACTAGGAAGTTTAAAAAGATATCACTACCTAGTCTTTATTTTACCCTCTTACATGAGGACAACTTGGAATAAGCCCTGGACACTAGTAACTGTTTTGCAGGCTTTTTCTTTAGTGGTAAATACACGTAAAATTTACCATCTTAGCCATTTTAAATGTACAGTTCAGTCATATTAAATACACTTATAATGGTGTATATCCATTTCCAGACTCTTTTCATCTTGCAAAACTTAAACTCTGTACTCATTAAACATTAACTACTTATACACACACACACACACACACACACACACACACACACACACACATCCCCTGATTACCATCATTGGATTTTCTGTCTATATGATTCTGGCTATTGTAAATATCTCACGTAATATTTATGCAGTAAATATTTCACTTAGCATAATGTCCTCCAGGTTTATTCATGATGTGATTTGTCAGAATTTTCTCCCTTTTTAAAATTCTACAATATTAAATTCTATCTATCTACCTTTCTACTTATCATGTTTCACATTGTGTTCATTTACCCACCAGTGCATACTTGGGTTGCTTTCACACTTCAACTATTGTGAATGACATTGTTATGAATACTAGTGTACAATTATCTCTTCAGGATCTGCTCTTAATTCTCTAAGATAGTGTATATCCAGAAGTAGAATTGCTGGATCATATAATAATTCTATGTTAAATGTTTTGAGGGGCTACCATACTGTTTTCCTTAGTGGCTACACTACTTTACATTTTCATCCATCATACACAAAGCTTCTAATTCCTCCAGTCCTCACTGACACTTGTGTATGCATTTATTTTTGTTTTATTTTGTTTCAGAAAGTAGCAACCCTAATGGATATATACTGAAGTCAGATATCAATTACTTAGAATTGTGAGTTCCAGTGTGAATTCACTGCACACTATCGCACTTACTTGTGCATGTCCCCCTTTTAATTGAATCTTAATAATGCAACCAATACCTGTGAATTCACCACCAGGTTTAGGAGCTCGAATTTTACAAGTAACCTTTTACCTATGTGGTCCTCGTCCATGTTATCTATTTGCCTACACCAGAGGTAACCACTTCCCTGAAATTTATGTGTCCATTTTTAAAATGTTTCATTATGTATGTGTGTATGTAAATGTATATATACTTAAACAATATATTATTGACTTTTGGTTGATGTTGAACTTTATAAAAAGTTCTCTCTAAGCACTGACATTTTTCTGAAGCTCCAGATGGTTCTCGTGCACGGGCAAAGCAGACCCAAAGCAGACCGAGCACTTTCTTATGTGGCCTTTAGGCAGCTGGCTCCTTCGTCACCTCTGTGACCATCTGACTGGCCTTCCTTTGGCTCTGGCTTTGGGAATCCTGCCTCATTCTGACCTTTGATATAGGTTTGCTGGAAGGGGCTCCCTGATCCTAGGTCTCTCATACATTCACTCAAGGAATTCTGCTCTCAGCTTTCTCTGGGTCTGAAGTCATCCTACTGTCTTTGGTTCTTCCATCCTTTATCTTGTCTCTGCCCCTTCTCACCGTGCTCTTTTGTCCTCAGCCCACCCTACAGCCTTTATTCTTTTTTTTTTGGTTTTTCTCTGGTGCCGGGAACTGAACTCACGACCTTGTGCTTGCCAGGCGGGCGCTTTGCCGCTGAGCTAAATCCCCAGCCCCCCTATAGCCTTTATTCTTAATAATGGCAAAGGAGAGCTAGTGATATCGCAAACCTTGGTATGTGAAAACTTTCGTAGAAGAGAAGAACAAAACCAAACAATATTTCCCTTGTATCTTTAGCCTTTGCTGACTGGGGAAGGCAGACGCGGGTTGGGGAAACCTCACATTAAAGAAATAGGAACTCAGTTACTCTTTATCCTGTGGACTAGCGGGATGTCTCATGGTGGGATGAAATGAGTTCCATCTCTGACTTCATCAGTTCCCCCCTTCCTTCTTTCAATTTATGATCATAATTTGTGAGCCTTAATGTAGATTAAATTCCATTTATTTAAACAGGTTGTAAAAAGCTTACGATGAAGAGGACTCATATTATTCTAGGTTAGCCTGGCTCTAGAATAACAAATTACCTTCTTCTCTGCCCTACCTATTTCTAGGATTTCTGTTCATGTCAAGACAACGTTAAAAGGATGAAGAAGATGATGGAAAAATGACCTGTCCTGTCCACATTTTGTGAAACAGCTCAGGTACAGTGGAATGGAGTGGGGATTTCCTTCTGACTGTTCTTTGGCTGTAATGTTAAAGTCCTGCTCCCCAGGTTGCGGTGTTAGCATCTTTCCATTCTCCCAAGTCCAACTGCCAACTGAGGCACAGAGAGGCAGAATGAGTTGAAATAAAGTGCCCTTCGTGCTGCCATATTGAACTTTGAAGATCAAGTCTGCTGAATAAAATTTTAAAAAACATGACATTTGTAAATGAAAAAAAAACCTTAGTACTTACAATAAGTTAGTTTATATGGTTCAGATGGAAAGTAACATAGCAGCTTACATTTTGTCTCAGGAAATCAAAAAGATTCTGATTTGAGAACCACTGCAACAAAAGTTTGCTATTACCAGAGTGGACTAGAGTTCAGAAAGTTAATGAAATTATATTCATAGAGTTTCCATATATTAGATCACATTTAAACATCATTTGTAGAAACTATGAATTTCTCAAACATTTTCTTGTGTCACCCGTCCACTTGTTCATTGGACGC